GGGGGGGGGGGGCGTGTCGGGAGTGGCTAGGCGCGGGGCAGGGCTTGAGGCCCAGGGCAGAACACTCAGAGCTAAGGTGCTGTTTGTGCTCTCAGCATCAGACAAGCACTGGACTAACTCTCAGCATCAGACAAACACTAGACTATCAGTCTCAACTCGGCAAATTTTATTTAGAAAAAATGGTGGATTAGGGGAGAAAGTGACAGCGCTCACTAAGTCAGGGTCTTAGAAAATAAACCTTAACCCTTCTGTAGCACCGTTAGTCTTTTCTATCACTGCTAAACCTCCCTCGGCTTCCGCAGCAGGGCAAAGCTTATGTCCCTTGCCGAAGGAGAGTGGACGGTGAAGGTGCCTGGAAACGGCCAGAGAAGAGGCCTAGGCGATCGATGTTGCGATGGAGGACACTGTGTAGCACAGCCAGATGGGGTCCTCCTTCACCTCCACCTTCCCTGGAGAAGTCCCGGATGAAGCGGCCACGCTCGGACTGAAAGATGAACTTCTGGGGCAAGGGGCCATGCTCCCGGAGAAAGCCCCAGACACTAAGCAGCAATAGACGCACTTCAAAGGGTGCCAGTTGGCTAAATACCTCATGCATATTACCTAGGGCTGGTGGCAAGAGGCTTCCCTCAGCCATGACAGCCACCAGGGTGCAAGATGCCTCCAGGTGCCAGGGGGAGTGGGCAGTATCAGGGTGGCGAGAGGCTTCCCAATGGCCCAACAAGGCAGCCAGCAGCCCCCGAAGCAGCACGGAGCAGTAGCACAGGGCGGGGGGAGCGGCTGCAACCAACTTCAACAACTCAAAAAGCAAGGGCTGTTCCCGGAAGCGTCGGCCAATACGAAGATCCCGCTCCACAGTGGCCCGGGCATGTTCCTCTGGGGGCCAGGCCAGTTCAGCTCCAGCTGCATCAGGACACACACTCTCTACTAAGGTCACTGCTACTGCCTTGGCTGCCTCTGGGCTGAGGGTGGGAGCACCCCAGCAACCCCCACATTCAGTGCCCCCTGGGGCACTACAGCAGTGCACCAAAAGGCTGAGAAGGCTCTGGGTATTATAGATCACTTCCTGCTGGTTTCGAGACTGAACAAACTTGGGTGGCTTTAAGCCACGGCCAATGACTCCAGCGTGGAAAACTGACCAGATCCCGCCAGGACCTGGAACAGCTGCAGTGTGCCGCCGATTAGTGTCCAACAGGGAGGCAGAAGCCAAAGGAGCTGAAACAACTGAGAGAGTCTCATTTTCCCCATCTACTTCCCCTCCAAACAGTTCTGTGTTGCCCCGGTGTAGGGCTCCCTCAACTAGCAGCTGTAGGACAGCCTTGAGCCCAGCTGGGGAAGTCTGAGAAAGTCGGGTGAGAAGCTGGGAGGCTGAGGCCACACCTGGAGGTCCATGCAGCCTCAGAGAGGCAAAGAAGTGATGCACCCCAGCCCTTACCAGTCCCAGGAGTTGAGAGGGAGACAGGGCTTGCAGAGGAAAGGGACAGATAGCCAGGAGAGAGGCAGCAGCTTCAGCTACTTCCTCCTCAGGATGTAGCAGGAGAGGAGCCAGGTCAGACAGATGTGCTGACGCAGACTCCCCAAACTGGGCACTTAGGGCTGCAGGGCCCTCACCACCCTGCTGTTCCCAGCCCACTAACAGTGCCAAATTGCGCAGGAACCGGGCTGTGAAGGGAGGCTGTAAAGTCCCTGCATGCACCCGAGCCAGGCAACTTCTGAAGGCCAGGGGGAGGAGGCCAGAGAGACTGACTACCAACCCTGCGTATAACTGGGTTGCCAAACTCAATTCTTCAGGGCTTCGAGCTCTGCTCAGTAGATGACCCAAGGCCTCAGGTCCACAGCTTGGCCGAGTATAGACAGATAGCAAGCCAAGGAGCTGATGCTGCCACAGGAAGCGCTTCCGTTCCAGCCGTAATGTCTCTCCACACAGCTCTCCAACATGGTTTCTTAGCGCATCTAGAAAGGGCACTGGGCGAGGAGGTGGGGGTGGGCCCAGGACCCCTTCCCCAGGAGACCCTCCCCTGTGATGAACCAGTTTTTGCAGGTGCAGCAGCAGCAGCTGGATCAGCCGATCACAGGCCTCTCGCACAGTGTCTGGCACAGCAAGGCCCTGGGTGGTAATAACTGAAGCAGGCATAGCTGTGTCCACCAGGAATTGCAACAGGCGGTAGGCACCTGCTCCAGAGGCCTGGCTCACCAGGTGCACAGCCAGGTTCAGCATGTTGTCCAGCTCCTCTCGAGGGAAGCCCTGCAGGTGTTGCTGCAGCTGGCTCAGCACAGATGGGGGCTTGAGGCAATCCACAAGTTCTCCAGAGACTGTGCCTAGCAAAGCTGGTGACATGACTGCCAACTGCAACAGGAAGGGAACTGTGGCCTGAAGAGAAGCATCCCCACCTCGGCCGCCAGTGCCTCCTGCCAGGCTATCATGGAACATTCGAAGGAGCTCCCGTCTGATACTGTCTCCATGGCGGGAAGCCAGGTGCCCTAGAATGCCTACAACTGAGGCAATCTTGGGCACCCGTTTCTCCCCAGAGATGGCAGGAGACCCAGGGAATGGATCTGTAGAGGGGGTTTGAGAAGAGCTTCCACCACCACCACCAGCTCCACCTCCAGCCCCACCATGGACACAAAAGTCCTTAAGGCCACAGGAAAGGACTCGGGAGATGATGGTGCCAGGAAAAGAGGAGCCAATATGTGCCACAACCCAGTCAAAGTGTGGAGAATGCTGGACAGACGTGTCCAACAAGGCATCCACACATGCATCTGGGCAGCTACCAATAAGAGCTGAGAGGCACTGCACGTAGATGTCCATTAACGTGCGGGTGGCCCTACAGCCCATCCACAACTGCAGCAGTTCATTGAGAGAGCCAGTGGCATGGGGGACACGCTGATGCTGGCCTGAATATGTACTGCTCAGTTGTCCCATGAGGTCAATGGACCATGCACTAATCACAGGTGCCCAGGCCTTTGGATTGGCTCGGATAAACTCAGACAGAACCTGCTGTACTTCTTGTACCACATCCTCTAGACCAGGTCCCCCAGCAGGGACATGGGAAGGTGGAGGTGGACGGAGGTGGGGAGGGCCAGCTACAGGACTTTCATCTAGAGCGGACAGGTGGGCTCTGACACTCTCATCAAAAACACCTCTCAAGTGATCCAACACAGCAGCCCGAGCAGGTGGCAAAGATCGGAGCAGCAGAAGACCACAGCGAGCATGTTCCCGAGCTGAGAGTTGGTGACCCAGAATGGGATCTACACCAGTCAGAAAAGCCTTGATTTCCTGGGACAGCTCCTGAGCACTGTAAGGAAGCAACAGCAGATTTAGAGCCCTGGGAGATGTTAGGCCACTTACATTCCTTCTATGAGCTTTAGTTTCCTTCTATGTAAAACAGGGTGAATAACTGTACCTCCTTCATAAGAGCTTACAAACTTAAATACCACATCTGGTTCACATTACTTAATTTTTCACTAGCCCCTGGTGGCTCACACTTGTAATCCTAGCTACTCAGGAAGCAGCGATCAGAAGGATCGAGGTTCAAAGCCAGCCCTGGGCAAATAGTTCAAGAGACACCATCTCAAAAACCATCACAAAGAAGGGTTGGCAGAGTAGCCCAAGAGTTAAGATCCTAGCAAATGTGAGGTCCTGAGTTTAAGCCCAGTGCCACCAGAAAAAAAAACAAAATTTTTTTCAAAACATCAGTAATAGGTAACTCTTTTTGTGGTTCTGGGGTTTGAACTTGGGGCCTTGGGCTTACTAGACAAGCACTCTACCACTTGAACCACCCCCTAATCCAGTAATAAGATTACCAGGTACTTTTTTTGGGGGGGGCCGGGTTGATATGCTGGCAATGGAACACTGGGCCTCACACATGCTAAACATTTGTTTTGTCACTGAGCTACATCCCTAGCCAGTTCAGGTACTCTTTAAGATACTGTATATGTTCTATTTCAGTTCTGACCACAGCTCAGTGAGGTAGGTCTACTATGATCCCATTTTACAGATAAGAAATAAGAATTTAAGTAGTAAGTCTGTATACTCCAAAAGAGTAGAAACTTTTTCTGTGCTCTTTAACACTGAATTCCCTTCTATTGAGGTCTAGTGTATGAGAAGTTCTCAATAAGTATTTAATTGAATATAGCTTATGTTTCTATAATATCTGCTTTCCGATTTTTTATCATACTTTCCTGCACAACAAAAGCACTCTGGAATCTGCTGTGAATGGAAAGAAAATCAAAACTCCTTATTAAAGACACCCTACCCGTTTTTCCCATATTGTTCAAGAATCCTAGGGCTGGTGGAGTGGCTCCAGTAGTAGAGTGCCTGCCTAGCAAGTGGGAGGCCCTGAGTTCAAACCCCACTACCGCCAAAAGAAAAAAAAAAAAATCCTAACCACCCACCACTGAATCGACAACCACTATTTACCCAGCACCTTCAATGTGCCTGAGAATCAGGGTGTCCCTGGCACAGACAACCCCTTCCCCTCTGGGAACATATGTTTTCCTTTTAGAGGTTCAGAAGACATTGTTTGGGAGAAGGCAAAATCTCCTCCCCCTTATCGTCTTTTCTATCAAAAATAGGGGCTTATAAGACTATGCCATTCCTTTCTGGTTCCTTTACAAAAAATTTTAAAAGCCAGCACAAGAGGAGGGGAGTAGGCAAGGGAAAGGCCAGCAGAAACATTCAAAGGGTTTCTGCGTCTGTATTCTCAGGGAGTCTCCACGAAGTCAAAGTCCTGGGTTTCTTCAGGTTAAAAAGGGCAGGGCGACCATCCCCAAGTTCTGATATCCCCAGGACTCTTGGGAGAGCAAAGCCAAGGGCAGGTGGGCACTGGGGTCTAGTGAGAAGGACCAAAGCCTTGGGAGGGCGGGCACTGGAGCCCAGAGTTTTTAGTGAGCCAATTCCCGAGTTCTGGGAGGACGCGACCAGGAACCTCTCAGAACCCTGAGGCGAGTTCTCGAGGTGGGATCCGGGTCTCTGCCGAGAAGACTGGGGATCGGCGCGGGGGCCTGCGCGGTGGGGAAAGATACCAGGGGCTCTGACTACCTGAGAGGCGCGGGACCGTGGGTGGCAGGGACAGGCCCGGGAGGCCCAGGGGCCCCGGGAGGGTCGCACAACGCGGACATCCCGGAGCCCGAGCCCGAGCCCGAGGCGGGAGCGGCGGAGCGCAGGCGGCGCATGCGCGCTTACGGAAAACGTGAAAGAAACCAGCGCCGAAGCCTCTCAGGAAAACGAATCCGGCGATGTCTGTGCCCCTAGCACATTGGTTCCGTATTGCATAGATGACAGCGGGAAGCCCACCCACCCCACCCACCCCAACGCAACAATTTTTTTCAAACGTCCATTGACAGACTAAAACTAGCTGCGTCCAATCACAAATGGGATTTTTTTTTTTCTAACGCCAAAAATACAATTGTGGAACTCACAACTTTTTCAAAATGAAGCGCTAGCCGCGCCGTGGTGGTGTGCGTGTATAATCCCAGCACTGGGGAGGCTGAGGCAGGACGATCATGAGTTGGAGACCAGCCTGGGCTAAATAGTAAGACCATCTCAAAAAAAAAAAGAAAATAGTATAAGTAAATAAATAGGGTGACAATGTGTAAAGCAATTAAAGAGGGAAGGGAAGGGGAAAGCTATACCCGCCCCCCATCTTGGGGTGGCTTGGGCTTTTTCTTTGTTTGATTTTGAAGAACCAGAGAGTGTGGCACAAACAGAGCCTCAGAGTCCAGAGAATGCTGTCTTCTTTGACAGAAAAGCCGGTAAGAGGAAGGAAAATTGCTTCTGTCGTAACCCTGCCTCCTGAGCCTCTAAGATGGAACCCATGTGTTTCACGGAGGGCAAGGGATAAAAGCCATTACTCTGTCTGTACCATGGTACCCACTGAAGAGATGGAAAGGAGAGAAAACTCATGAGGAAATAAGAGTAGAAAGGTGGGGTGGGGGAGAGTCCTAAACAAATTGGGCTAACTGGATGAAAGAGTCCGCCCATTCCAATGGAGAGACATCGTTCTATCAATCTCCAGGTTTAGGCTCACTATGGAGACCTTACTCTAACTCTCCACAAACATCTCCAAACCTGGCAGAGCGTTGTTGGTATAATGGTTTCTTCCAAACCTGGAAGAAATGGAGCACAATTGTCAACTACATACGGAGTCTGTACATCTCAGCAAGAGCCCTCACTTGAGTCAGTCTACCTAGATGAGATTCCATCTACTCCAGTTACTAGCTGTGTGTTCGACTTAACCTGTCTATGCTTGTTACCTCTTCTAAATAGCTCATAAGGTTGTTAGAAAAACTGAAGTAAAAGTTCACAGTGTAGCACATAGTGCCTACAATGGTAAGCACTGTATACGCATTAGCTATTATATTATATTTGTTGAAAATGAACACCAAAAATTAAGCTCTTTGACACTAAGAACTTTAGCTTTTATTTATTTATTATTTACTTTAGCAGTTCTGAGAATTAAACCCGCAGCCAAGCCAATCAAACCCACATGCTAAGCTTGCACTCTACCATTGAGCTACATTCCCCAGACCATGTTTTCCTCAGACTGGGATGTAGTTTATGCATGAGGTCCTGGATTCTAAAGCATCACTTAAAGTTTTTTTTTTTTTTTTAAGAGATCAGGAAGACCGTGGTTCGAAGCCTGCCTGAGCAAATAGTTCATGAGATCCTATCTTGAAAATACCCAACATAAAAAAGGGCTAGTGAAGTGGCTCAATTGATAGAGCACCTGCCTTACAAGTGTGAGGCCCTAAGTTCAAATCCCAGTGCCACCAAAAATTTTTTTTTAAAAAAAGCTATATCCTTACCACCCTATAATAGTATTTACCTGGCATTAATTAGTATGTTCTTAACAAATAATCACTGAATAAATGAGAGGGAAGTAGATTTTGAGGTTTGTATTAACCAAAGTACTTATTACCTCACAGGAGGAGAAAGCTAGAATACCAGATGGTATGTGTTAAATATGCTTAAATATACTGTTTGTTTATTTGTTTGTTTGCGACAGCGTCTCACTCTGTAGCCCAGGCTGGCCTCCAACTATTGAACCTCCTGCCTTAGTCTCTGGAATGATGGAATTGCAGGCATGTGCTACCACGTCCATCTGAATATACTATTGAAGTGATTATGCTTAAAAAGCTAAGTAAATGACTCATTCATTGTTATTTGTTTCTATTTTTAGTTCTACTTCTACTACATACCAGAAGGCACTATTCTAAGATAGTAAATACAAGGGGCAATTTCTGACCAGTTGTGGTAACTCATACTTATAATCCCAGCTACATGGGAGGCTGAGGCAGAAGAATCATTTGAGTCTAAGAGGTAAAGGCAAGTATGGGTCATAATGTCTGGAGCCTGTTTTCCCATCTGCAAAATTAGTATGATGACTCTGTGACACACTCTGTGAAGATCACTTAAGATAATTTATGTAAAGTGCTTGGCATAATGCTGGATACAGAAACATCTCTATGCATTACAATAGTGAAATAGGAAGTTTGAAGGACTCTAGAGCTAGGATGCATGGGGCCAAGTCTTTCTATCATATTCTAGCTAGTATCCATGGACGAGGGATTTTCTAGATCTTGGTTTCCACGTCTGTCAAACAGGGACAGTAACATATCTGAGGCAAATAAACATATGTGAGGCTAATGAAATAATACAGGCAAAGAACTTAGGACAGTGTTTGGGCATAGTAAAAGTCTGTATAAAAGTCATCCATTATTGGTATCTTTTTTTGGTGGTGGTGGTACTGGGGTCTGAACTCAGGGCCTCACACTTGCTAGGCAGGTACTCTCCCGCTTGAGCCACTACCCCAGACCCTTTTTGTGTTGTGAATTTTCATGATAGAGTCTTAAGACATATTTGCCCTGACTGGCTTTGAACCTCAATCCTCCAGACTCTGCCCCCTGAGTAGCTAGGATTATAGGTACAAGTTAACAGCACACAGCTAATGACTGGCACTAATCTGTGAAGTGGGACAGAAAATGAGAGGACACTGCTGGACTTTATCTGTTTCAATGTCCTCAGTGGTAGAAATGGTAAGTCTGGAGGAGGGATGAGTGAGGGTTACAGCTGAGTGGTAATTCTCTCTCTCTCTCTTTTGCGAGAGATTTGAATTCATGGCCTTGCACTTGCTCTGCCCCTTGAGCCCACTACATTGGTGCATCTACTTTTATATGTTTGAAATGTTTCCATAATAAAAAAAATAGAAATTAAAAAGCAATTTTAATTCTTTCATCTTACTTAGACTAGAACTCATATCTTTACAGGCCCTAAATTTTTTATGGTACTGGGGTTTGAACTCTGGGCTCCATGCTTACAAAGCAGATGGTCTACTCCTTGAACCACAGCTCCAGTCATTTTGCTCTGGTTATTGTTTTGTTCTTAGGCAGAGGAAATAGTAGGTGAGCTTGGAACACACTGACAGAAAGTAAGGAAGAGAGCCACACACCAGTGGTTCATTCCTATAATCTGAGCTACTCGGGAGGCAGAGATCAGGAGGATTGAAGTTCAAAGCCAGGCTGCGTAAATAGTTTGAGACCTTATCTCAAAAATACCCAACACAGGGCTGGCAGTATGGCTTAAGTGGTAGAGCACCTGCCTAGCAAGTATGAGGCCCTGAATTCAAACCCTAGGACTGCCAAACACAAAACAGAACTGGTAGAGGCTCTTCTTTGTAAATGGTCATGGAAATAATGAATCACTGAATGACAGAAAATCACTTTACAGGACAGTAACAACTAATTCAAGTTAAGACATGTGACCACTGAATGACATAATTGGGGAATGGGTATTTATATAGTTGTCAATTTTCACCCCACAGATTGCTTAATTACAAAGGGTGTTTTCCCTTTTTTCTGTAGAGCTACCATTGGCTGGGTATGGTGGCCCATACCTAGAATCCCTAGAATCCCAGCATTCAGAAATCTAAAGCAAGAGGTTCAAGAGTTCCTTCTGCACAGGCAGCTTTTCCCTTTAAACAACTCAGCCCTGGCTTCCTATAAAGATAAATATTAATATTAAAAGGGAAATATGGAGGCCAATGATGTAGCTCAGTGGTTAGGATGCTTGCCTAACATGCATGAGGCCCTAGGTGTGACCAGAAGAAAGGAAAAAAGGAAATGTTTGGTCTTTATTTAAAAACATAATCCAGCAGAGGAAGCAAGACAAATGAAGTATTTGCCCAAGCTAGTCACACAGGCAATGGTATGACCAGTATTAGGATCCTTACACATCATCCCTACAATAATCTCTACTTTTGTCATTAGGGAGAAAGGGCATCAGAAAAGCTGGCTTCTTGTTGCCTTTGCTCAAGTGAGCTCTGTGGGAATCCTGCTTCTGACTGTCTTCATCCACAGTCACAGACCCCCCTTCTCAAGGTCCATCCCCATCCCTGCACTTAAATCACACACATTATGGTCAAAACTGTACAGCTTTATTACAAATAGAGTGGACTGCTAGAGAGGCCCCTCTGCAAACTTTCTTCTGTAACCTCTTCCCTCCTAACATCCCTTCAGAGGAGCTCAGTAGGGATCTGAGGATAGTGAAAGGGTCAATGCTTTCTCCAAAGTCCTTTGAAGCAACCACCAAATCCTTCTGGCTCCAGTTGAAAATCTTCTGGCAGAAGAAGTAAAACTTTAGCTCTCATCTTCAAGGTTCTCCATGTCTACATCCTGGGGGGGTGTTATCTTCTTTTGTCGTTTGGGCCTTGGTTCACTAGTCCTGGCTGGCTTTGAAGGGGCTTCCACTGAGCAAAGGGAAAGAGGAAGGATCATTAAAGAACCCAAATAAATCCAAGCTCCCTTTCATCTCACCTGTGTGTCCCAGTCTTACCTTCCATGGCTGCCTTTTCTTTCTGGGCAAGTCGGATCTGCTGCAGAAGTTTTCTGCGTTTCTTCCCCGACAGAGTAATGTTGGCACGTGCACTGGACCTGAAGAGCAGGTAGGAATGGTTAACCTTCCTGAGATTGTCAATTGGGTCCAAGACCAAAATTAAAGACTGCGTGAGCTCACAGCCTACCGTACTGTGAGAGGCTAGCAGAGTTTAGGAAAACACACAGCAGACACACATTCCCTGCTTAAAACGTGAGCGTACAAGAAAAGCAGAGAGGTTTTGCCTCCTCTTGAAATTGGCAGCGAGGAAAAAATCGAAGGCGAGGAACAATGAGAAGAGGATCTGTTACTCACGCCCTCTTCTTGAGGTGGTGCCGCGTGATCAACCCTTCGTCTATCACAGCCCCGACTACCCGGTGTTTCAGTCGCCGCTCCCGGTTCAACACCCTCCGGCGCTTGAACAGTTTCTTCTTCAGCTCCTGCGAGGGAAAAGGTTGAGAATCAGACCAAGGCTGCACACAGTCATCGCACCAGGCATCCGCAGATCCCCCTCGATCCCATCCCGGATGAAAGAAGTCTCCAGCCGGACGCCGGTGGCTCACGCCTGTGGTCCTAGTTACTCAGCAGGCAGAGAGGGGGAAAGCCCTTCGAAGCCAGCCCGGGAAAATAGTTCGTAAGACCCTATCTCGAAGAAACCCATCTCAAAAATAGGGCTGGTGGAGTGACTCAAGGCGAAGGGCCTGAGTTCAAGCCCTAGTACAGAAAAAAAAAAAAAAAGGCTCCGAAAAGTTCGGAGAAACAAAGTCGCAGCATCCACACAGTCACCGTTCGCGGACGGTTGATCTTCCCTCCCGGCGCCCCCATTGCTGCGCAGCGACGCTCCCTCGCAGTCGGCGCTTCCGCCCCACGGTAGACACGCACGGCTCCGCCCGCCGCGGCCAATCGCTGCGCGGGGGGCAGTGCCGGGCCTATATAAAGGAGCTCCGGGGGAGCTGAAGACCTCTTGCAGGGTGGCGAGCTGTTAGGTGTGGGGGCTGCGCGGGTGTGCGGGAGGCCGGGCGGTGATCTGGGTCTGGCTTGGGGGGGGCCCTCCTTTTCTTGGCGGGGACTGGGTGTGTGGTCCCACTTCCCGTTATGTACGGAGGCAGAAGGAAAGGGCTCCGTCCCTCTCGGTGCCATGTCTTCGGTGCCGGCGGCTTCCCGTTCGCCGGTTCTATCCTCAAACGCCGAGACACGGGTGTCCCAGCAGGGCAGGTCCAGCGTCCCCCTCCGCCCGCCCCCCGCAGGATGCTCACGCTGTCTTATTTGGTTTCAGGTCTGCGGACGCCTCCCCAAGAGCGAGAGCTGACGTTTTTCCTCCTCTCTTCCATTTACTGTTGCAATCAATAAAGGCCGTTTGTACCGTAGTAGGGCTGTGTCCGGGTTCTTTTACAGCGGGCTGAGAGCTCGGGGAAGTTGTACGCGTTCTTCAGCGGCGCGGAATTTAGAGACTCCTTTGGACCTCAGGCCCGGGTTAGGGTGCCGGCGACGATTCGCGTAAGGTTCTCTGGCCGACCCTGCGGGGACCTGCACATGGCTGCGCTGAGCCGAACGCTTCAAGTACCTGCTCTAGTGGTGCGGGCGCGCCGAGCCTTGGCGGGTAGGGAAGATAGGGACAGAGTGGGAGGGCAAAGGGGCTTATGGGAGTGTGGTCTCTGAAACTGTGGCTTTTCAAAGTAAACCCCAGAGTGCTTGTGCGCCGTTTTTGCTGAGGAGAGACAGAAACCCGACACCGGATAACACACCCTCCACCCGCATCCACAGGCTCCCTGGCCGGTAGTTGCTTGGCTGACCGCCGCCTCTGGGATCGGCTCCATGCCCAGCCGCGTCCAGGCAGTGTCCCCACCTTCGACTGGTTCTTTGGCTATGAGGAAATCGAGGGACTGCTACTTCCACTGCTGCAGGAGGCACGGGCTGCCTGCCTACTGCGGGTGCTGGATGTGGGCTGTGGAACCTCAAGCCTGTGCACAGGCCTCTACACCAAGTCCCCACACCCCGTGGATGTGCTAGGGGTGGACTTTTCTCCCGTGGCTGTGGCCCACATGAACAGCATTCTGGAGGGCCAAGGCCAAACCCTCCTATGCCCTGGGCACCCTGCATCCCGTCTCCGCTTCATGCAGGCTGATGCCCAGAATCTGGAGACGGTGGCTCCCTCAGGCTCCTTCCAACTAGTGCTGGACAAGGGCACCTGGGACGCTGTTGCCAGGGGTGGTCTGCCTGGGACTTACCAGCTGTTATCAGAATGCCTGAGAGTCCTAAGCCCCCAGGGGACCCTGATTCAATTCTCAGATGAGGATCCTGACGTGCGTCTGCCCTGCCTGGAGCAAAGATCCCATGGCTGGACTGTGACTGTGCAGGAGTTAGGCCCTTTCAAGGGCATTACCTACTTTGCTTACTTGGTTAAAGGCTCTCATTAAAGATATTTTAGTCCGACCTTAGTGTTTTCTGTTGGGCAAGAAGAAGGTTGGAGATAGTTTTGGTTTTGCAATATGGGTGCCTTCCTCCCCCAGCCCCCTACTCATCTGCAGAGTGGGAATGAAACCTATAACCATACATGGATAGTTAGCAGTGCCAGGCACAAGGTGAATGCCGAGAACAGAAGGTGCAAATGCGCCATTCCTTGCTTCAATTAACTGGAATTCCTAAAAACAGCAGATAGGAATTGTATCTAAATCCCAGCATTGGCTTGGGTGGCCCATGGCCTAACTGCTGAGGCTCACTTTTCTCATTTATTAAGAGGGGGACACTGAAACAATGGGTAGAAAGGCTCCTAAAACTAACCTAGGTGGAATGTTAGAGGAAGAGAGAACAATACTCACCCCCAAAGGTATTGAGAGATGGGAAATGGGAATATTCCACAATGCAGCTTCTATAGATATTGGAGCCTGTTGCTGGGTCCCAAAGAGGACAAGGTTTGGGGGCCTCCTGACACTCTGTGATCTCAGGAATCCAGCAGGCTTGTTGGTCTTCCTGTTCCTGCCCCCAGCTGAGTCCAGGGTTAAATATTCTTAAGGGTTCACTGGGGTCCTGTGGGCTCCAGGCCCAGCCTGGGGAGAGAGGAACAGTTAACCCATTAGCAATGAAAAAATAGATATTCCTGGTATCTTATAATTATTTTTTTTTTGTGGTACCCCAGGGACTTGCCCATTCGGGCTGTACCACTGAGCTACATCCCAAACATCTGGATATATTTTTGAATCTTTACATGGAACTTTTTATTGGCAGCACTGGGGTTTGAACTCAAAGTCTCCACACTTGCTAGGTATGCACTCTTACACTTGAGCCACTTCACCAACCCTTGAATCTTTAAATGATTTTAAAAATGAGGGCTGGCGGAGTAGCTCAAGTGGTAGAGCACCTGCCTAGTAAGCCTAAGGCCCTGAGATCGAAAACCCCTGTACCACAAAAAAAAAAAAAATTATAAAATGAATTTGTAATGTCTTTGTTTATAAAAATAATGAAATCAAGCTGGGCACCAGTGGATCATGTCTGTAATCCTAGCTACTTAGGAGGTTGGACAAATAGTTCCAGAGACCCCCCCAATTCCAAAATAATCAGTGCAAAATGGAATGAAGGTGTGTGTAAACGCCTGAATTCAAACTCCAGTCCCACAAAAAAGGAAGGAAGACAAGGGTTAATGCACCTGTCTGGCAAGTGCAAGGTCCTAAGTTCAAACTCCAGTACTGACACCAGGCCCCAGCCCCGCCTGCACACACACACACAAAGTAAGATGTTGCTCGGCAAGGTGGATCACACCTGTAATCCTGACTACTCAGGAGGTACAGATCTGGAAAATCAGGCCAGCCTGGGCAAAAAATATTCTTGAGACCACCATCTACTCATCAGGCGTGGTAACGCCGTGCTTGTCATCCCAGCTACAAGGGAAGTAAATAGGAGGATCTTGGGCAGGGCTGGGGAAAAAAAATAATAAAGGACATGGGACTCTTCCAAAAAAAAAAAAAAAAACAACAACAGCAAAAATCAGTGGAGTAGCTCCAGTGGTAGAATGCTTGTCTAGCAAGCGCAAAAAGCTCTTGAGTTCAAACCCTAGTACTTCTGGGAGAAAAAAAAAAGGACAGGCTAGGGGTATAGCTCAGTGGGAGAGTGTGTGTCCTCAGCATGAACTAGGTTCTAGATTCAATCCCTAGCACCAAAAAGCAAAGTAAGACAGCAATTTCAATCAAGAACCTTGACTTCCTCACTAATAAAGGATTATCTCTCTCACAGGATTGCTCTGAAAGTCATAAGGAAAAGGTGTTTAGCAAAGTGCCTGGCACATAGTAAATGTTTAAAAAAGTAAAAAAAGAAAAAAAAAAAAAAAAAAAAAGCCAGGTCCTGTTGACATCCTAGCTACTCAGGAGGTAGAAATCAGGAGGATCATAGGTCAAAGCCAGCCCTGGGCAAATAGTTCTTGAGACCCTATCTGAAAAATACCCAACATAAAACAGGGCTGATGGAATGGCTCAGGCGATAGAGCACCTGCTCAGCAAGTATGAAGTCCTGAGTTCAAACCCCAATACCACACACACACACACACACACACATGCATACAGAAAGACTACCTTTTATAATAATACACAGACATGGAAAAAAGTCCAGGAGGAAAGACATCTAAAACATTATTTGTACTGGTCAGATTTAGAGTAATTTTATCATCTTTTTCCCCAACAATGTAAATATTTTAAAATATTAAAAGTACAGATTAGGTCATCTACATAGTTCCAAGCCAGCCTGAGCTATATAGTGAGACCCTGTCTGAAGGAAAAAAGAAAAAAAAAAAAAAGACTGGCAGCATGACTCAAGCAGTAGAGCACCTGCCTAGCAAGTGAGGCCAAGAATTCAAACCACAGTACTGCAAAAAAAAATAAAGAAAGAAAGGTGCAGATTAGGGCTAGCATTCAAGGCACTGAGTTCAATCCCTAGAATAGCAAAAAGAAATCAAAATACAAGTACAGATTAATTAAAAGGTGTCACCCATTTTGACATCAGAATGGCTCTCTAAACCTGTTGTGGTTATACATATCTACAGTCCTAGCACTCAGCATGACACAGGAGAATCTCTAGTTTGAGGACAGTCTGGGCTGTTTCAAACAAACAACTGGGGGCATTGTTTAAATGGTAAAGTGCCTGTGCAAATGTTAGACCCTGAGTTCAACCCTCAGTACTGCCAATCAATCAATCAATCAATCCCTGTACCTGCTGTTTAATGTTCAACCTTATCAAATGTCTTGACTTTTCTCTCCAGTATTACCACGTTTATATATTTTCGTATTTATTTATGTATATTTGTATGGGTGAGTCTGGTAGTGGGGATTAAACTGAGCACTTTATCACTGAGCTAACTGCCCTCAGCCCCTTTCTAAATTTATTGAGTACCTACTGTGTGCCTGGAACTACTGACTGACACACTGAGTGTTCCATTTTGGCCTTGTCTAGAACATCCAGATCACAATGGCCCAACTAAACCAGCCACTTCCCTCACCTGGCTCTTCACTTTGGTCCTGGAAGAAGGCCTCAGCCTCCCCTTCATCATCATCAGTGAGCAGCAGCAGCTCCTCATGTGGCCATTGGAGACCCCCATGGTCTTCTTCATTCACCTCTGAGGCTTCCACCACAATAGAAGGGAGATGGGACTTTTGAGAGACAACCTGAATAAAGACAGCAGGGGAGTTGGGACAGTTTGGAGGATAAGGCAGCAGCAGGACGCAGGGTAAAAAAGTACTAACCTGAACATCCTTGTGACCTTCAACCTTGCCAATCTCTTCTCTGTCCTTCCAGAGAGTATTGGTCAACCTGGGACTTTCTGGGTGCCAGGAGTAGCCTGGGCTATCTTTAGGCCATGGTTCATCCTCTTTGCTGGTCCCTGGCACAAGGGCCATAGTGGTGATTCCAAGAGTACAGGACAATTGAACTCTAACTAAAGTACCCCGACCCAGCGCACCACGCAGACTGCTCCTTTAATCTTCTTTGGAGCTGACCCCTTAATCACTGCTGAAGAGAAGAGTATGACATGCTAGGAGATTATGGGCCTTCCAGGGGAGGGAGGTGCCCAAGAGGGGCATAGGAGCTTTATTTCTATTTACACTCTGGACACTGTGGATAGCAGCCAGGGTCAGAGATAAGGGCATCTGGATTAAAGCCCTGTGAGTGAAGAGCTGTGATAATGAACTTGGAACTTTCTAACGCCTTACTGACTTTCAAAAGATGGCTTATTTGTATCTTATTTAATGAATATTTGTGTGCTGTTTACTGTTTGCCAGGGACTTTTTTTTTTTTTTTTTTTTGGTGGTGATGGTACTGGGTTTGAACTCAGGGCCTCACACTTAGCTAGACAGGTGCTCTACCACTTGAGTCACTCTGCCAGCCTCAAAGAAACTTTTTTTATGTGTATAGAACTTGGGATTGACCTGAGAGCCTCACACTTACAAGGCAAGCACTCTGTATCATTCAAACAATGAATGCCAGGAGAGGAGAAAAGTAAGAGGCTCTTTGTTTTATTCTACACTCCACTTTTTTAACATATTTTTTTTTCTTTCAGCGGAATCAGGGTTTGAACTCAGGATCTCATGCTTGCTTCCTAGCTGTACCACTTGAGCCACTAAGACAATCCTTTTTTGTGTTGGTTATTTTTGAGATAGGGTCTTTGGAAGCCTTTGGCTTCCAAAGGTGATCCTCCTGATCTCTGCCTCCCAAATAGCTGGAATTACAGGCCTAAACCATGCCAGCCCTGTAATCCAACCCTGTACACTTGGCTTTGAGTCTGTAGGTGTTTTTTGTTTTTTTTTTCAGTATTGGGGCTTGAACTCAAGGCCTACACCTTGAGCCACTCCACCAGATTTTTTTTGTGAAGGGTTTTTTTTCGAGATAAGTTCTTGCACAACTATTTGCCTGGGCTGGCTTCAAACCTCTATCCTACCGATCTCTCCCTCCTGAGTAGCTAGGATTACAGGCATGAGTCACCAGTGCCTGGCTTTTTCCTTTCGGTACTGGGGTTTGAACTCAGGGGCTACAACCAGCCCCTTTTTTACGTTTTTTGTGATGTGTTTGTGTGTGTGTGTGTGTGTGTGTGTGTGTTTGTTTGTTTTTAGATAGGGTCTCGTGAACTATTTGGCCGGGGCTGGCTTTGAACCAAGGTCCTCCTGATTTCTGCTTCATGAATAGCTAAGATGACAGGTGTGAGCTACTGGTGCCCTGCAGCTTTTGGTCTTTGTTCTAAAGTTAAACAGATTGGGAGGGGCCAATAGATTGTTATGTGTAAATATTCGGATGACCATATTACAAGACTAATGGTGCAAACAGGAGCTGCCTTTTTTTTTTTTTTTTTTGGCTAGGCACCACTTTGAGCCAGTCAGTCAGCCCTTTTTTGTGTTGGGTATTTTTTCGAGATAGAGTCTTGAAAGCTATCTTCCTGATTTCTGCCTGAGTAGCTAGATTACAGGTGTGAGCCACCAGCGCTGGGAAATTTTTTTTGTTGGTGGTGGTGCTGTATGCCAGGCAAGGGCTCTACACTCCCAACACTTTTTTTTTTTTTTTGCGGTACTGGGGCTTGAACTCAGGGCCTTCACCTTGAACCAGTCCACCAACCCTTTTATGTGATGGGTTTTTCGAGAGAGGGCTCGAACTGTTTGCCCGGGCTGGCTTCGAACCGTGGTCCTCCTGATCTCGGCCTCCCTGAGCGGGGATTACAGGCGTGAACCCCAGTTGACTGAACATTTCTATGGTCAGGTATTCTCTAGCCCAGACTCTGCTCTATGGTTCCCTCACCGCCATGCCATGGGTCGCTCTAGCCCGCGCAGGGGGCGGTGAGATGTGGCTGCCTTTCTAGGCTGCGGGAGTCTCCAGAGGGCGCCTCACTGGTCGCTAGGTCCGTCATGGGCAAGGTGCGGAAAGCGCTGGCCGTAGCTGCAATGCTGGGAGCAGGGGCTGGCGTGGGCTCCGCGCTTTTTGCTCTCGTTACCCCAGGAGAGAAGCAGAAACAAGCCATGCTAAAGGTAGAACAACTGAGAGCCCTGAGGTGGGTGGTAGATGGGAGAGCACCCGGCTGGAAGCCGGGACTGCGAACCTCCTTTCGTGCTCGCAGGAGCTGCCGGAGCAGCATCCGCTGCACAGAGACGAGAAGACCAGGACCCAGCACCTAGTGATGGCCACATTGCAGGAGGCCGCGGCTACCCGAGAGAACGTGGCCTGGAGGAAGAACTGGATGGTCAGCGGCAGCGGGAGGTCAGAGTGAGACCAGCGTTGTCCCGATGCGCGCCGGGACCTTGGCTCGAGTGCCGGAGTCCGAGGCGAGCCCTCTCCTCCGCGGGCCGGCCGGGGAACCGGGAGCCGGCGCGTGGCACCCCGGACTCTGGGACCAGGAGGCCCGCCGAGTGAGCATGTTCCCTCAAACCCTGGGCTCGTTGCTTTAACTTGCACTTAGGGGGCCGGACCGAGGCAGAGGGTCGGATGTGGCGAACCCAAGGAATCAATAAATGCTGTTCGTGCAGAGAGTGACCTTCGCAGTCGGACGCCTACCAATGCTTAGCTGTGGGGATCTGCGCTGAGAGCGCGGCTGACCGCGGGAGCTGCCTGCCACGCCCCTCTCCCAGGGAGACCGTGAAGCCCATTGGGTTTAGCGACATTTCAAAACAGGTCATGTGGTCTAAGTTTGAGTGTAGTTCCGGGTAGAACCTAGCGACATACTTAAAATCAGAACTATCTGGAAATCTTGATATCAATGAATACTTGTAAGGGACTCCTGTTCTTCGGGCGAGGTTGAAGAAGAGCATCTAGCACTTAACGTGCCCTAATAACGTGCTTTCTATGACCATTATTTAAAGAAGCTGAGAGGCTGACTTACTGGAAATGGTGAAAGGAGCATGCTTTGTGTCAGTAAGTTCTGGTTTAGCTCCTGTCCTGTTCTATAAAGATCATAACTGCCTAGAAGATTGACTTAAGTTGGAGACTTAAGGGGCACAGAACAGCCTCTCAGTAAATGTCGTTCCTCACCCACAAGGTTTTCCCTATAGTTTCCAGTGTCTGGATCCGGTACAGGATTTCCTGGAGATACCACTGAGTATGAGATAAAGTCATGGGATAGGGGTTCCCACAGTTAGGCTTGCCAGGTCACTCCCCTTTGTGTGTATCTGGGAACCCAAAGCCTCATGCATGCCAGTAGCACATATTATATACCACTTAGCTATACTCCAACCTCATATTTTCCCCCATTTTTACAGTGCTGGATATCAAATGCAGAGCCTTGTGCATGCTAGGCAAGTACTCTACCATTGAGCTGTACTCCCAGCCCATCCATTTGTTTGGTTTATACCTTGTAATTCTCAACAAGACTGAAGTAGAAAAAAGGCTGTTTTTATTAAATAAAGTCAGAACACTAAAGCTTTGTAACACTGAGGTGCAAACCCAGAAATGAGCATTGGTGCTATTTTCAGCTGCTGGACAGTGGAGTCGTGAGCTCAACCACTTGTGTGTGATCTTTCTGGTTTATCTGCTTCTCTACATAAGAGGAAGGAGTCAGAAACTGTTTGGAGGTCTAAGGGAAGGAGATCAGTAGCAGTAAGAAGACCCATCAGGGAGAACCTGAGCTCACATGAAGAATGCTGTACTTGCTACCAGGTCACTTTGGGCAAGGCTCTTGTGCTTTGAGATCCTCATCTCTAAAATGGGTAATTATACCTACACCTAGATAACAATCAGTGCCTTTATAGCTCAGTACATATAAAAGCACATAAAAGCACTTAGAACTGTGGTATGTATGAAACACTTTTCTTCTTGCGGTACCGTGGTATTAACTCAGGGCCTTCACCTTGAGTCAGTCTGCCAGCCCTTTCTTGTGATGGTTTTTTTTGAGGTAGGGCCTCTCAAACTATTTGCCCGGGGTAGCTTTGAACCTTGATCCTCCTGATCTCTGCCTCCTGAGTAGCTTGGATTACAGCATGAGCCACTGGTACCTGGTTCTACACTTCTTAGTGTTATCAGGAAAGTACCATAATGTTTGATTTACTCTACAGCAGAACACATGCAGGTCTCCTTTTCTGCAAAGGTCACCTTAATGTTCATGGAACATTAAGGAATGTTTATGGAAAGCCGTATAAAATAACCAACCCAGGCTAGGGTGTAGCTCAGTGGTAGGGCATTTAACTAGCATGCCCAAGGCTCTGCGTTGCATTGCAGCACCACACAAAAGAAAACTAAAACCTTTTGGATAGATAATACTGGGGACTGAAGTGCTACACACTAGATGGAAGCACATTATGTCAACATTATGTTTGCCTCATGAGAGCCCCAAGGAGTAGGCACCAACATCCCTATTCTACTAAAAACTACGCCTAAAGAAGACAAGGGCTGGGCTGTTGCAGTGGCTCAAGTGGTAGAGTGCCCGTCTAGCAAGAGTGAGGCTGAGTTTAAACCCCAGTACTGCATTAAAAAAAGAAAATGTCAAGGGCTGGGCACTGGTGGCTCGAGTATAATCCTAGCTACCTGGGAGGATTGATCACTGTTCAAGGCCAGCCTGGACAAATAGTTCACCAGACCCCTATCTACAAAACAGCCACAACAAAATGGACTGGAGGTATGGCTCAAGTGATAGAGCATCTGCTTTGCCAGTGTGAAGCCCTGAGTTCAAACCCTAATCCCAGAAAAAAAGAAAAAAAAAAAGTCAAGGGACATGACTAGGGGAAGTGGTAGAGTGCTTGCTTAGCAAGGAGGCCCTCAGTTCAAATACCAGAAGTGCAAAAAACAGTGAAGGTACATGGCTAGTAAGGCTTTAAAATTTATAGCTGGATGCTGGTGACTCATGCTTATAATCCTCTTTACTCAAGATGCTGAAATGGGGAATATTATAGTTTGAGGCCAGTCCAGGCAAATAATTCACAAGATCCCATCTCCAAAATAATTAGAGGAAAACTGACCAGAGGTATGGCTCAAGCCATAGAGCACCTGCTTTGCAAGCCTGAACCCTGTGTTCAAATCTCCAACCCACCTCCACCCCCAAAAAAATCATGACTGTCAACCTCCAACAAATGTCCGAGTATTCTATTTGGAAAATACCAAGCTGCTCCTCCCCGCCCACACACACACAAAAAAAGGTGGTACCATACCACCTTACCTATAGGAGCAAAAAGTGCCCTCATCCCCACAGCTTCTCCCCCTTTACCTTTGAAGCAGCTAATCAAGACACAGAAACTGGTGTCTGTTGGAAACTAAAGATGAGAAAGAGGGTCAACCCCAAATGTGTTCCCTTTGGCTTCTTTCTCTGCCTCCCTTTTGTCCTTCCCACCATTCAGGAAGAAGCCAGGCATATATAGAACTCAGAGGGTCTATTTATTAGGAAGGAAATGTCAGTGCTTTATCAAAGATGAAGTCAGAGAGGGATGGAGGGATGAAGGTTCCTCAGCTGGGACATTTCTTGGCCACAATGAGGACAGCAGAAGGCACGAGTCCTAAAAATGGAAGAAAATAAGACTTGAATTACAGTTCTTGCTTTTTGCTCCTCAAATTCCTGGACTCACACTGTCCCCATAAAGTCCATTCTCTTTGTATCCTTTCTTTTCCTAGGCATGCCCCCAGTCCCCCAAGTCCTGTTCCTGATCCCATATGCCATACCCAGCTCCTGCAGAGGCCGCTCCATGTCAGCTTCTGAGAAGGCCCGTCTGGGAAAGCCACTAAGCAACTGCACAGGATCCTGGCCCCCTCCAGGTTCCTCTCCACGGTGGAGCTCCACATATAGCCTCACAGCTGCCAGCTGTTCCCGAGCCCGGAACGTCTGTGTCAGTGAGGTCCCATCTGGCAGCCTCACCTAGAAGGCAAGAGAAACACCCAGAGTACTGTGACAATCAAAACTGAGTGGTATGCCCAAGTAAGGAAGAGCTAAAGCTGCCCCTTCTTCCATCAGAGAGACTGAATCATTACAACTACTAAAAGCACTTAATGAACAAGTACTTATGCTCTGCTTTACTAAGTATTGAAAGGTCTAACTCACTCACAATCTACGGCAATATACAAATATGTCAGGACAAATATCACGAAAATAGCTGTGTAATGAAAGAAAAATATGAGCAAATAAAAGGGTAACTGCTGAGTAAGAGGGAGGTCTGGACTTAAATATGACTGGGGCAGGTGAAATTTGATATCTTTCCTAAGAGTAGAGGAGGTAGGATTTCAAAAGTCATTTACAAAAAAGGGAGAGATTTGGCAAAGGGAACATAACTGAAAAAAGACCTGCATTGGGTAACTAATAGGCCAAGAAAAGGGTTCAGGACCAAAAAAGGAACCAGAATCAGTACCTGTATGCGACACTGGTCATACTCGCGCTTGACAGGTGGCTCCTGGCTGGGAGAGGAGGGAACAGGACCTGGCTCTGTCCCTGATGGGGATGGCTGAGAAGCCACACTACCACCATACTGGAGGACAAAGTAAAACATTCAATCAGGCTCTCACCTGCCCTCAGAAGGAACAGATTTTGTAAGCCCATGCTTTTCCTCTGAAACTGGAAAAGGAAATTAACCCACCTACCCCATTTACCTACAGTCTTCCCATCACCCACCTTCTTGGCTCTTTCTGCTTTGTCCCTTTCAATCTTTTCTCGAACCCTTTGTCTGGAATGCAGACAGGAAGAAAACAGGTCGGACATCAACAAACCAAATCTTGATTTCTTTCAACAGTTGACCAACATGCCCATCATCCACACCTGGCAGCTAACTCTTCAGCCTTTTCCCTCCTCCGCTCCTCAGCAGCTCTTCGCATCTCATCTTCCTGTAGTTTCTGTCGTGCAGCTGTCAGCTCTTGTCCTTGTCTCCTGCGCTGCTTTTCTCGTTCCAATGCCTCTCGCTCCTCTCTTTCTTCACGTTCTCGCTGCTTCTGGGCCACCAACTCCAACATCCTGTGTTGCAGAAAGGAAAGAGCTCAAGAGAAATGGACATGGAGTGGGAAGGTGAGTTTATAACAAAGGACTCTAAACAAAATCAGGAAACGTGTCCCAAGGTGGATAAAAATAAATGAAAAACAAAATAATAAAAAAAGAGCCAGGCACTGGTGGCTCACACATGTAAGCCTACTACTCAGAAGGAAGAGATTAGGAGGATCAGTTTGAAGCCAGCCCCAGGAAAATAGTTGGAGAGACTCTGTATGAAAATATCCAACACAGGGCTGGCAGAATGGCTCAAGAGGTAGCAAGCATAGTTCACTGGTAGAGTATGTGCATGAGGTTCAGGGCTAAAAACAAAACAAAAGGACAAAGGGGCTGGTGGAGTGGCTAAAGTGGTAAGAGCACCTGATTACCAAGTGTGAGGCCCTGAGTTCAAATCCCAGTGCTGCCAAGGCGGGGAGCAAAAAAAAAGGTCAAAGGAAATGTGGAAATGTCAAGGTACTTTGACCAGACTTGAGTGTTTGCATTGGGGAGGAGTGGAGATGACCCTTAGGAAAGTGAGAATGTTCTTTAACTGTACCTCTTAGTCTGTTCTTGTCTTTCCTCTTCAGTCAGAATGGGTCTGCTTTCTCCCGCAGTAGAACCAGGTCCTACAAACAAGCAACCACTATTATTACCCCTTCTGATTCTCCTCCGGCCTCCTCAATAACCACACGATGTCTCCCTGTTCGGACCTTCAGGGTCAACTTGCTCTGAGGATGAGGAGGTGGGTTCTCGTCCCAGTACATGTCCAAGGGGAGTCTCTAGAGGCTCGTCCACGTCGGGGTCGTCTTCGTGCTCCATCAGCCTGGCAGGGAAAGTCGGCAGGGAGGTTGGCCTGGCGCCTGCCCCTCCCACCAGCCCCCAGTCCTCGACTCCGAGTCGGATCGCTCACCAGTCCATCGCAGCCTCGATGCCCTGGTTCCCTGTGAGGGCCAGAGCCTTCTCCCTGGGGGCAGAAACACCATGAGTAGCACCCAGCCATGGTGACGGTCAGGACCGGGCGCAGAGCCTGAAGCTAGGCTGGGGTAAAGGCCAGGACAGGTCCGCGGCCCCCCACCCCGGTGGGGCGGGGCTAGAGGGGGAAGGGCTCCCTTACGCGCGTCCACTGGGGAAGCCCATCTCGATGAGACTCTCCAGAGCCGTCAGCTCCGCCATGGCGCCGCCACCGCCGCTTCCGCGGGGACCTGGTGCGGCGAGAAGGAAAGCGGGAAGGGTCAGCGCAGGGCAACCCACCTTCGACGCCCCGGGACGGGCACTCGCTCACTCACCCGACTGGGGACCCGCGGGGAACACCGATCGGAGAGAGCCGAAGGGAAGCGGAAGTACTCGGATCTGTTTGAGTCACATGGAGGCTGGCGTGGACGGGTGCCGAGAGGAGCCAAAAATCTCCCGCCCGGCCGGCCTTCCAGGACCTTGCGTGGACTGGGAGCCGCCGAGTCCCGCCTATGGCTGTGATATAGAAGAAGGATCGTGTTTAAAAGCGTCGCACTGCGTTACCCTCCTTAGATATTAGGAGGAATAGGGTCCCGTAGCGCAACTTGCTGGAAAGTTGTTTAGCAAAGTTTGTCAAGAGTCATTGAAATGTGCACGTTTTTGATTTTTTTTTTTTTTTTTTTTTTGCGGTACTGGGGTTTGAACTCAGGGTTGGCACCTTGAGCTACTCCACCAGCCCTTTTTTGTGAAGGACTTTGTCTAGATATGGTCTTGTAAATTATTTATCCGGGCTGGCCTCGAACTGTGATCCTCCTGATCTCTGCCTCCTGAGTAGTTAGGATTACAGGCGTGAGCCACCGCCCCTGGCTTGCACACTCTTTTTGACCCAGTCATCCTCTTCG